TTTTCGTTTAAGATAACAATTAAAACGGAATAGACATCGGATAGAATAATTGTGAGCAATTGTTTTGTTGCAATATTACGAATAATAGCTTTATTAACTTATGGATTTGAATTTATTTTTTTTTACGTTGTGATTTATGTGTTTCTTTTTGCAGATTAAATTTCGTGATTCTCTTTTAGGTATAGATTAAAATAAAGGCATTTAAATCGCTGAACAATCCGAACGAAGTAAAGAAAACGTAATATATCGGTTTACATACAATTTACATCGTTAATGACGTATATAATATAATAAATCATAATTACCTAGTTGTTTTCACGAATGAGTGTGAACGATGTAACGAAGAAACTTGAGAGGAGGTATCTGGGAGGCATCGGGACGCAACGGCGGGACACCAATGAAGTAATTTATTTGTATTCACTTTTATTTATATTGTTTATTTGAATCATTTAAATAATGCAGCAACCGGGTTAATTAGCATTCATTGATTTATTATTATGATTGTTCTATGCATTGTGTTTTTACGTTTATACGATATGTTAAGTATCATTTCATTCTTGTTAATCATCAAACATTGAACAAGCACAATTAATGCATACAACGCTATAAAGGCTGGATCAGAACCTATCTTTAAGGTAATACTCTTGCGATATAATCAAAAAGTTAAGTTTTCTCGCGCGCTCGCTAACGATATTCTCACTTCTGATTTACACTCTCACTAGAGAAAACTTTTTATTGCGCTTGTTCATGGATGCAAGCGGAAAAAATGAATACAGTTAAGACGCAGCCTAACGCAGCTCATTGCTATCTCCCTTCGATTTACATGACGGATTAACAAATGTTTACGAAAATTGAATTCTTTTCACGAATCTTTTCCAAACTAAACGGTAAAAATTATATGACTTTTTTTCTCAATATTCGTTTTATATTCCTCCATCGCATGTTCATTTTTTATTAACATTTCACAGGCAGTTTATGCTTTACAAAAACAAACGCGATATTTTCTCGATTTAGGTATAATGTATAAAAAATACAGCTTTTAATTGCATTCAGCTCGGTAATGAAACATCAATCTCATTGTAATTGCACAAGTATGTCATTATCTAGTACAATAGATAGTTTCAATTTTAAGAAATTTAATAGGTATTCAATTTGCGATTGTGCTACATTAAATCCAACAAGGACGTAAGGCAAGAATCGATCATTTCAAATTATTTAAAGAGTAAACAGTGAGAATTTACTGGACTGTTTCGCCTTCTGAACGCATTGTCAACTTTACACGTCAGTGCTCCTGTGTCTGACAGTATTAAAATGTATCTCATGGAAAAATTACAATTACTGGAAAATTTCCATCTATACATACACATTATATCTAGTAAAAAATTATATTTTTATTCTCATCTTCTTTCATCAATGATTCGTCAATATTATTAACAGTAGTTATAATTGCTGTCTACCTATCACATTGTCAATTGTGGTTTGTTCTTTCCTACTGTGACTTTACATATGTGAGCTTAAGAAATAAATAATTTTTTATAAAATGTGTTATTGTATATTACAATTGTCTACCAAAATGTGATTACGAGTATTGGGTTAGAGAAAAAGTTCTGCGAAATTTTGTTAAATCAAAATTATGTATAGAATATATTTGTTGCAAAATTTTCGATTATCTGACATGAAAACTTAAAGTTTTTCCTAAATGCACGTTTTCAAAAAATGTTAAAAAACGACTTTTTGTTACCAAGTCACACATGGATTAAATAAAAGGACATTCTGATTTGGATTGCTCATAACTCATCGG